ATAAAGTGTTATTTAGCCGGAAAGTAGAGAATTCCAGTTGTAGACTAATATAGGCAAAAATCACAGAATGGTTAGTTGCGAGCCGCTTGTAGAGGGTGGCGAGACGGTTAAAGTAAGAGATTTAAACTTAAAGGCTGATGGAATTCTTGCTGGCTGAAGAGGAAATCTGGTCCGTTAGTCTGTCGTGATAGAAGTAAAAGGGAATAAATAACTGAAAATATTCGTGTTTTCATTTCTCACCCTGGCGATATGTTCACCTTCCGTTCCTTTCCCAGTTTTTGTTCGACTCGAATGATAATCGAAATACAGCGTGGAGTATTGTTCTTGTCTTTTTCATTTGTTATCACAACGTTTCGACCATTGTGTCCTCCAGCCTACTCTCGATCCACTGACCATACCTTAGGATATCTCGCCTAGCTTTTATTTAGTATTGTTTCGTTTTTGCTCACCGCGGTTTCACTAAGTCCAAGTATACACTGCCTGGCCCAAAGATCGAACTTACAATTACTGTTACCAAATTCAGGAACCAACGTTTTAATCCACTAGGCTTTTCAGACAGCCAGACCTTTTATGTCACTCAGTACGAGCAAAATCAGTTGATCACGGATAACACAGCATGGAGTCCAGAAATGCAAAAAGTATAACAGCATCAGTCGTAGGAAAAAGAGAATGACAAAAATTACTGGCTTGGAAAAGAGGCTCGTTAAATATTAGGTTGTCACACATGAATTAATATTAGCTTGTCACACATGAATTAATATTAGCTTGTCACACATGAAATGACGCATTTTGGGGGTTGTTTGTTGATACGGTCGTCTAACAAATTAATCTCTTTAGTATATAAAAAATCTTGACTTATTCCTGACGTTTTTTCTTTCCAGATAATTTTTTTTTAATATATTGTTACTTATAAACCCAATGAAAATGTCGAGTAATCTTACTATATGAGTACAAACTGGGAAATAGAACCATTTTTGCATCGAATCATTACATGCGATGAGAAATGGATACTCTTTGACAACAGTAAAAGAGTATGCCACTGGTTAGATGCAAGGGAATCACCAAAACAATACCCAAAACCTCCATTGCACCCTAAAACATTAAAGTTACTGTATGGTGGTCTTTCAAAGGGGTTATTCATTATTGTTACTCATAAACCCAATGAACATGATTACAATGAAACAATATCGAGTAATCTTACTGTATGAGTAGGAACTGGATCATTCTGCCTTTGAAGCATTTCGGAAGATCAAAGAGACCTTTGGTAATGGTATTGTTGAAATTAGAACTGTACAGAGATGGTTTCAGAAAATTTGTTCGGGAGATTATAGCCTTGAAAATAAACCAAGGGGAACACAACGATCGGTTATCATGATCAATTGAATGCTTTGGTTGATCAAAATCCGAGAACTACAGTCTGAATACTTGAATCAGAAATCGAAACATCTCGTACAGCTGTTTCTCGGCATTTGAAAGCAATTAGAAAAGTAAACAAACTTGATAGGTTTCTTCCGCATGATCTGAATAAGACTTTAAAAAATCTGTCGTTCTGAGGTGTGCTTTCTGCTGCTTTCCCGACTTTAAAAAGAACAATTTCGTATCGAATCATTACATGAGATGAGAAATGAATACACTTTGAGGTCAGTAAGAGAGTAGGCCAGTGGTTAAATGCAAGTGAATCACTAAAACAATATCCAAAACATCAACTGTATCCTAAAAAGTATGGTGGTCTTTCAAAGGGGTTATTCATTATTCATCCTTGCCTCAAGGGAAAACAATAGCAGCAACTTCGGTTTGTGGGGTAATTGCGTGTATGCACGAAAATTGAAAATGAGACATCCTAGACTTGAGAATAGGGATGGCCCAATTTTGCTGCACGACAAATCAACTGCCAAAAAGCTGCATCAGCCTGAATTATGAAATTTTTCCTCATCCTCCCTATTCACCTGATATCTCTCCTACTGATTATAACTTATTTAAGCATTTTGAGATTATCATATGTAATAAAAAATAAGAAATCGATGTATTTGAAGTGTTCATCACATCAAAGGATGAGAATTTTTTTAAAGATGGGATCAAGAATTTAGAGATACGTTGGAGAACGGTTATTCATCAAGATGGTACCTATTTCAACGAAATAAATTAGGTAACATTTTAGAAGCGTTTTAATCATTTCCTATAAAGTGCGTCATTTTATGTGTGACAACGTAATATAATACACATCGACATATAACAATTTACTTAGCAAAGCTTAGACGAGACAAAAGGCCATAAGTAAGGATCTAACTCCCTATTCAGTCAAAATTGACCTTACGAGATAAGCTTGATAATCATTACATCATATCGAAGTGCCCAAATCTACCGAAGTATATATTGGTGTATTTTGTGTTGTTGAACGGAGGCTCCTGTGTTGTTGGCAACGTCAAAAAATTATATATATTTTAAAAAAAAAAAAAAAAAAACTACATCAGGGCAAGTTGGATATCTAAAAAAATATTGGAGGAAGAGAGTAATTACCATTTCAGTTTCGACCACATGGTCAGCCCCACCGTCCATGGCGTCTGAAGTGACCATTTCGACCACGGCTTCTTCTATGACGACGGCTGTCTCTGTTACTGCCACAGTAACCTGATCGGCATTGTTAACTTGCGCATCTTCAGGGGAATAAGCAGTCTCTTCCACCTTTTCTGCTACGACGTCAGCACTTTCTGCTTCTTTTGAAGGTTGTGGGGGAGGAGATAATTCTTTCTCGACCAGAGACGAGCTCTTCTTTTTCTTTCCAAAGCCAAAAGGCATCTAAAGAAAAAGAAAAAAAAAGAATTTTAAAATTGAAATTGTACAACAACTCTTCACTTAACGACTTGACCAGTTAACAACCCCGAACTTAGGACCGACTGTCAATTATAAAATTAAAAAAAATCCAATTAGTCGATATTGTATAGCTACCACCAAAATATATAGGACTTTCTTAAAACTGATCTAAAAAATATCCTACAATCTGAAGCTAACTGGACGGGAAATAGCTCGTTAAATTTTAATGCTTCCAAAACGAATCTGCTCTCTAATATTCATCTAAGAGACCCCTTTCTGCTTCTCATATTCATGTCGTTTCTAAATTTCTGGCGGAGGGAATTGCGTCATGGCGCTCTTTTTCTTACAGACGCTGTCCAACTAACCATACTATACTGTGCAGCCGACAAAATAAAAAAAACAAACAACGCGCATGCGCGAAAAAAATATGAAATGGCGACAATTTAACCATCGTACCCTGGTAGAAAGAAAAGCAAATGTTGATAAGATCATGAGGTTCACAAAGCACTACCGGAGGCTTCCAATCAGGTCGGGGGTAGTACGCACCGGCCATGCACGTTTTAGAATCCATTCCACAAGGTAGGTATTTACCTATTTACCCTAGTTTTCTGGCTGAGACGGCATGTGACACAAGGTCAGATTTAACGTGGTGAGCCTGAGCGCGTATATCCTTTGCAAGGACAAAAATTGCCCAGCCCCATCGCAATCGTCGGTTGTGCAGTCCTCGGTATGACTACCGATGTCCCCTCCCCGTTTATTGCAATAGTGGGGCTCGGGTAGTTGTTCCCCGAGACTGGGCACTTCCACAAAGTAGCAGTTCTTGGTATAAGCTGATTGCATGGATTTTTTTACATTTCGTGACCGGATTAAGGAATACGAGAATTTACTTAAAAACCGTTTTATGAAATGACATGGCCATTATAGAGGTGTCAATGTGCCTTTAAAAAATCTGACGTAAATCAGAATCTTGAGTGCTATTCGAAAATCGACTGGAAATAATTTGATATTTTATAATCGATGTGCCATTAAACACAATATCGATTGCTTACCGTATCTGTGTTTTGGTTATCGTCGGTTTCTGTGTCTGGTGTCCAGAATCCAGAGTCTCCGTCCCTGTCGTCAAACTCTTTACCGTCCAGAGGGCGCCACTCACTTCCGATAAGAGGTTTCTGGTCGTCTTTCTTGCGGCCAGCAGATGTAGCTGATGAAAAAAAAAAAGAAAGGAAATAATGTCATGAAAATTCCTTGAAGTCTTTTACTGCAAGGGGCAACACAGAACAAACATGTTCATTAGTTTTAAGAATGGAAGGAAATAATTGAGTGAATGCTCGCAGTAATGTTACCAGCCCTTTATAAAGCTAATCAGTAAGTTTGAAAAAAATAGGCGTAGAAACAGGAACCACTCTTTACGCTTGGCCAAAAATGTTAATATATTTTACGACCAAGAAAAATGGAGGCATTTAGTCTTAAAATGTCAATAGGGAATTATTTTTAATATTTTCAAGAATATATTATAAATACAAGCCGAAGACCTGTCTTTCAAATATTATTTATTAATTAACTTATGTAAAAGTAAAGGTGTACTAATGGAAAGATTTGTAATTGACAACTTTCTCCATTTCTCTGAAACAGACGTTAAACACTTCTATCTTCGATTCCATCTTCCTTTCTATCTTTCTTTCATTCCTTTTTTTCATTGAAACCAAGTAGCGTCTCTGTTATGTCAGTTCCGTGTTTATACGCGGTCAAAACGAAATAGTCTATTATTTATGAGTCATTGGCAGGATGTAACAGTCGTGCGAACTAAAGAACTAACTAACTAACGAAGGGAAGAACAAGCAGAATTATAATCGAGATATTATCATATCAGACCAGCACATTCCATTTTAATTATTTATTTATTTATTTACTTTTTAGGAGTAGATAGATTTGTCTATCGTCCGGTTCACACTACACTCCGGTCTTTTGAACAAGTAGAAGGGTTTATTCCTTGTTTCCTACTTAGGACTAAGTTTCCGGTTCCCTCTGGAGTCTTTTCCCTCACTTTCACTTCCGGTGACCTCCTTGCGTCATATTCGCATTAGCACCTTGCTTGGAGCGGTACCTATTACTCTGCAACCCTTTACCTCGAGTGTCTCTTGGCTCTTGTGCAGATTGATCATTTAAAAAAAAATCCTTTTTTTACGCATCCCGTTTTCCACGTCTTGGTATAAGATATATATAAGATATATGAAACCATATTCTTTTATGCGCCGAATATTGGCGATCATGGCTCTCCACAACTACCTGTCCTTAATAAAATTTGTCTTTTTGCTATCTTTCCTAAACCTTGTTCCATCATCCATTTACTCAAGCTCATTCTTCTTCTATGTGCCGTGTCCTTTCAGGAGGTTGGCGATCATGACTCTCTACAATTTCTTTTAGCTCTGAATAAATTTTGTCTTTTTGTTATCTCTCCCAAATACTGCTGCGCCATCCATTCACTCAAGCTTGCCAAGTCGGTCGCACGTTGCATTCCTTTGGCCTTTTTACCTTCACTCTGTCTTGTGTGTATCAAATTTTCCAAGCCATCTTTTCCCGTTCTGTAGCTTAGAAATTTCAGCTGTCTTTTTCTGATATTAACTATAAGTGCCTTTTTTGTTTCCATTTTCTCTAGAACTTAGATTCTTATTGAAAATATTGATGATAACTTGTTCGGAGATGCCAGGGTTTATTATGTTAACATTATTTTGCTTGTGAAGTTCCCTGCTAAGTTAGATTTCCAAAAACTGAAACCCAATTGACGTTCCTCTTTAAATACAGACAGTAAAAACATAAAATAGATTATTGCTCTGGTCTTCAGTCCACATCAATACTTTGCAAGAGTTTTAAAGCCTCAAAAACGAAACTGCTCTTTTGTAATCATTTGAGAAACCCTTTTTACCTCCAGAAGATTGACGCATTGCGCCTTCTTGGATTAATGTTTCCAGTTTACATGAAGTGGCAAGAATATATTGAATCAATTGCTTACTCTGCAGCTAAGAAAGTTGGTTTACTATGTCGTACTAGACATTTTTTTCCTGAAAGAATCTATCTTATATATTTATAAGTCTACTTGCTTTGAACATTGCTGCCACATCTGGTTTGGTGCTCCTGCTATACATTTAGAGATTCTTGATAAAATACAAAAAAGAATCTGAAATATCATTGTTCCTGACCTGGCATCTCAGTGTCAGTCCCTTTCTTACCACCGTAACGTAGCTTCCCTGTGTCTTTTCTATAAATACTTTCATGGAAACTGTTCTGATGAACTTTTCTCTATAGAAACTAGTTAAGACTTTATAGAGACTCAGAGGTATTAAGGTGGCTGTAGTAAGAATGGTAAGAATGTTTTGTCTTGGTGTAAGGAATACTGTGGGTATGTTTGGGTCAGTAATCGTGGCTAGCTAAATTTAAGATAAGACAAATTGAAGACAAGCCTTCCCCTATCCCGACCTTTTGGGCTTGTGCCACATTTTTGTATTTTCAAAATAAATATTACTTTCCTCAATATTACTTAGACTTTATGAATTTAAACGCTGTACTCGATTAGCGGCAAAGTTTCATCATTTTACAGTTGAAATGGCAAGATGTAACCGTAAGTTCTATGCTAACAGGTTCTTCTCTCGCACTTCTCGCTTGTGGAATTGTCTTCTGGCTCCATGCTTCCTCGTCAACTTTGATCTTTAAAAATTTAAGAGCAATGTCAAGCTGGTTAGACATTTTTTAACAAAATGATTTACTATAAAAAAAAATCCATCTCTAGGACCCTTTTATCAAAGTCTCATCAGTTCAAAGTTCAAAGTTGAAATGACTAGATGTAACCGTAAGTTCTATGCAAACAGTTTCTTCTCTCGCACTTCTCGCTTGTGGAACTATCTTCCGGATTCTTTTTTTCTAGTCAACTTTGATCTTCATAAAATTAAATGAAATATCAATTGTTATTTTCTGTCTTAATTTTTGTTCTTTTATTGTCCCCTCAGTTTAATAGTAGATTCTTTTTCATATTATTTAACACTTAGTAACCTCTTGCGTCCTAGTGGCTTTATTGCCTTGCTTGGGGCGAAATGGAAAAAAGAAATAAGAGTGAGCACCCACCGCCATTTCCCTGATGCACTCTTTTGACTATTCTTTTGTTATCTAAATCTTTCTATTCTCCAGATTCGGTGCTGAAATCACGCCCTTGTGGGTGATGAATTATTTTCTATCCTACAACCCGTCTCTCACAGATGAGTCGTTGCAAACGTTTCGCTGCTATTTATCAGCCATGGAGAGTGTTCAAATGAACTACACTCATTCGTTCCACCAGTCCAGTAACATTCACGCCATGTCACACACATTGTAGCGAACGAACAACATTTGCTTTGTATTCCATTGGTGAGAAGTAAGTTTCACTTGAGACAGCTTCTTCCCATGAAACACTGTCTTGTTAGAACCGACTCCCAAGTGGGTGCTTCCCCTATCAATGTTAACCTGTTCAAGTATTATCCAGTACATTAGTATAGGTCTAGGGTTCCTCAAGCTGGGTATTAAAAAATCCTTATATATATATATATATATATATATAAAAGTGGACATTGAAGTCAACTCTCAGAGGCAACAGGCTGTTTCATGCTAGATGCAATCGTCAGGCCGCCAGTTGACTTCAATGCTCACTATTATATTTATATTTACATACGCTCTATCTCTGATATTGAACACTTTATTCCGTAAATATAGCACATCTTAAAACTACACTTTTCATTCATTATATATATATATATATATATATATATATATATATATATATATATATATATATATATATATATTCAACTCTTCTGTCGTATTCGACATATGAGGGTCAAGCAGCTCAGTTCTTAGGAACCGACAGCCAGACACCAGCACATATGATTTGATTATAGTGGTGAAGGTTTCGTGCAGGACCATGCACACTTTTTGAAGGGCCGAATACAGAGACCTGGTGCACTACGTGCCACAAGGTCCCCAAACGACCCTCCGCAGGTTTTGAATTCAAAGTTGTCCTTCTCCTAGACCAGTTGCCGTCCAAAGCTATAGAACCCAGTCTGTCCTGCGATTTTCCCATAGCTGAAGGGAGAAGGGTATTAGCGCAAGTGAATGTAATGGAATTCGAACTCGGTTCTCCGATTCCTCAATCCAAGCCGCTACTCATTACTCCACCGTGCCCCCCTCTCTCTCTCTCTCTCTTTCTCTCTCTCTCTCTCTCTATATATATATATATATATATATATATATATATATATATATATGTGTGTGTGTGTGTGTGTTGAAATACGTGCTAATTTGGTTTGCCATAAATAGTAAAATGGTGGTTTTTCATTGAGAACATTTTTATTGACAAACAAAATATTGCTGATCTAGTTCATTTAAAGAATTCGTTACAGGTTTACGTTGCTTTGTAGAATCGACTCCCAAGAGGATGCTTCCGCCGATCGCTACAATCTTAACTTGTTCAAGTCTTGGTTTTACCGCATAAACTGCGCCTATTACTCTGTAACGTTCTACCTCGAGTAGCCCTCGATCTTTGTTACGGGGTAGACATCAAAAAGATAAGAAAATGTGAACGAATTGTCAATATATGAGATTGCTGTAGCACAATACTTCATTCTGTTTTCAGAATAAAAGAAAGACAAAAAGAAACCAGCAAAAGGGGCGGGGGGGGGAAATCACTGGGCGAAATCTTTTCAACGGATTTTATTAATCCATATTGATATAACCTTTTCTTTTTGCTCACCCAATACAAGGCCCTAAGAGCCACTCAAGGTAGATTGATTTGTTTGTTTAACGGCATTTCAACTCCTTCTGGGAAATGCTGAAATTTAATTTTCTTGGAAGCTTTGAAGTAATAAAAATATGATATATGTTATTCTGCTTCCACAATTGAATACATGGTAGATGATGCTCAGCTTTTGTTCATATACATGTTTTTCTGGACATAATTACTAGAGGTGGTGATATGTTTGTTTTATATTGTAGTTTTGTTGAAGTCATATTTTGGAATACGATTTGATTCCTTTAAGAAATTGTAGGATATTATATGGATTAATGTCATGAAAGAGTTATTTCATTTAGGTTGGTTGGTTGATTTTGCTTGGTGGCATATCAACACCTTTATGGGTTATTTAATGCCGAAATATAAATATTTTGAACGCAATTGTATGCTTTTAACTACAAATAAAATGTTGGTCATTTTGCTATAAAATGTTTTGTTGGTCATTTTGCTAGCATTGGTAACTTTTGTATATGAAGATATTCCACTATAAAAATGTATTTTCATAGTGTTTTGTTTTTATTTGGAGGTTCTCTATTTGCTCATAGCTGGGACCCTAACAGGTGCTACCACTCCTCAAAACCTGATCAGGAGCCTTGCCGTTAATCGTCTCAAGGTAGAGGGTTTCTGAATGTGGTTTTAGGTTTAATAAAATTAAATTAATTAAAGACCAAATAGAATCAAAATAGAAGAAGAAAAATGTATTTTGTCAAATCTTCCGAGTCGGGGGTGGGGGCATGATTGCTTTGAAAATCAGCATTTTTAAATTACAACCTTCGGCTTCTCATATGAGGTCTCATAAGTTAAATCAAATCAAATAGTATATTTGGAATAGAATGCCAAAGATATAAAAGAATGTCTTCGCTAAAGGGGCCATCTTTTTTTTTCTTCAAATAACAAATTTAAGGGCCTTAATAAAATTGTTTTTCTCTTCAGCTACACGATGGAAAAAATAACATCTAACCTCAACAGCCTTTAGTTTTAAACTACCGTATATATTCGCATCTCGTGCGACTTTTGAAGACCTCATACACGAGGTATAAAATTAGCATATGGACCAGATGTACATACGCTAATTTTATATCTCGTGTATGATGCGACCCTCTTAAAATTGGCTTCAAAATTAAATCTTCATCTCATGATACGCGAGTATATACGGTATATATAACAAACCAACCTATCTATAAGAATATTTTTCGGAAGTTACTTAAATCCTGACTAAATTATAGAAATAGATAGGATATACAGTGACCAATAAATGGGGGATAAGTTTAATAATTTTGTATTGTTCTTTAGAACAATACAAAATTGAGTAATACGAAAAAACTCTGGTCGAAGTGTCTACTGTATGACACCGTTAAGGATATGTTCAGAATGTTA